CCTTAAGCGTCCAAGTTAAACGTACGGTTGGTCGCGCAACCACTCAACATAATTTTTAGTGTATTCAAGACAATGAAATTCACATAGATGTCCATTCAATTCACCCATTCTGCGATTCAGCATCACATTGCATGTTCTTTTTTATCCTAAACCCACGGTAGATGCCACGGCTAGTAGTAGTGCTGCACCCGCAAGGTAGGCGCTACTCCAGCATATATAGCCCCGTTTAGTACAGCTCAGCTTCACGAGTAAAGCTGTTTTTTTTAAACAACTTCATAAACAACTTTCTGGGTGAAACTGGGCTGATTTGGAAAAATTATTTGGCAAAACAGCTTCACCAACAACTTCATGCATGGATGAGAGAGAGAAATGAGGGAGAGAGTTAGGATAAGCTACTTTTTTCAGTTTCATCCCAACTTATGTCTTTGTAAGAAAAGAAGAAAAACAGCTTCACCATGAAGCTGTTTTGAAAATGAGTGTTTGGTAAAAAAAAACAGCCCACAAAGCTCATAAAACTATTGTGAGATATGCCAAACAGGCCCATAATCTTTTATCCTAACATAAATAAAGAAGAGATTCAATGTAAGTTTGTTATATCTGCAACATTTGACTGACTGGTGATTGAAATATTGATGTAGCTTTGTGGCGAGCATGCACCGTTGTTCAAAAGGAGTATTCATTCCCCGCCCACTATACAAAGCTAATGCCATATGACAGTGTTTTCACCTTAGGATTGTTAATGGCCATAATCATTTCTTCTTTTACTAAAAGATTATTCATATCTTTAAACCGATCCTCCTGTTCTTATTTCACGAGGAAGGTAAAAGTGGAGTTACCATGAATGCCGTACCATACCTAACTCTTCCATTGTATAATGTCCTGCCATCTTCACACACGTGCGCAGACCATCAAGACTCATCGCTAATACATACCTTCGGTTCACAACACCTTGTTGGGCATAGGAATTAGGCCATGTTCCTCAAAAAAAAAACTAGATTATAACAATCTAGATAATATATTATGATAATCTACACTGTTTAGATTCCTAGATTATAGTAGGTAATCTTCAATTAGAAGGTTTCGAGCAGATTATATAGTATTATTATAATTTGGTGCGTGGATTAAAATAATTTGCACCATAATCTCTCCTATCTATTGGATCGTTTTAGCTGATTAGGTCTAACAAAGATCAGACATGACCTTAATGAGATAGATAAAATGACCATCTTACCCTCATTTATTTTTCACTATAGTGATCATGCATGGGCAAAGAAGTTAGTTAATTAGTTAGTGGTGCAATTAAGAGGAGTAGGACTAGAAAAGGTAGTATAAATTGCCTAGAAGCCATTAAACAACAATTACTCACTCCATCCCAGAAAGAATACAATTATAGATATAGTACAAAATCAAATCATATTCAGTTTGACCAAATTTTCTATAAGGACTAATATTTAGATATCAAGTAAGCATCATATAAATTTGTCATGAAATATATTTGAAATCATAACTGATGATGGAATTTTCTATATATTTAGTTAAAATGAAAATAATTTGACTTAGACTAGATCTAGAATCACATTCTTTTTTAGATGGCAGCAATAGCATTTGGAGTATTATAAAAGAGGCTATTTTGATCCTGAAGAAGTATAAACTATCATATTTCAGATTGCTACAAGACTAAACTCTTTACACCATATACTTCAGATTCATGATCTGAAGGAAATGTAAACTGTCAACTATAGCAATAGCAATATAGCATAAGCTGCTATTAATTTAGGTCCCCATGGATAATGATGCATGGTTTAACCCATGATGTTTTTTTTATGAAGTCACTGAGGATTTTTATCCGGTCAAGCCACTGAAGATGGGGTTAATAACTGAGTGAGGAAAATCAGCCCTGCTCTTTTCCATATATATGTGGCTAACCGTACGTTAATATGCACTATTTTTTACCACGATTGGCCTGATGTGGTTCTAAACCTAATAATGCTTCTGGCCAATCAGGAGACGCGAGAAACACATGATGATGAACAAGGGATTTTTTTATAAAGATGGACTTGTCATTGTCTCCTTTTTCATGTCCACCACGGTGAGTTACATTTTATTTTTATCTAATGGCAAGTGCATGGCACCTTTTGACTGAGCATCTATGTATCACCACCTTCCCGCCACAACTCCTTATCCACCATGGATTCCTCCACGTGGACCCACCACCACCTACACCAATATTATATTGTTCTTAAAAAATATTCATTCCCTTTTTTGAGAAATTCAGAAAAAGAAATTAATAAATTTGACTTTTCCTATATTCATGCTGTTCTTTCTAGGACAAATTTTTTCAGTATAAATGAGGATGGAAGTTTTATTCGGTGCTATCCAAACGACGCTTGTGGAAATTAAAGAGGAAAATATTGGAGCACACGTGTGCATTCCATTCTAGTGGAATTTCATTTTTTAAGGAATTGTTCTCTTGACGTGTTAAATAGCAGTAAAGAATTTGTGCCGAATGCCTACAGTTGCTGTAGCTAGTAGCACTAAGGCCTTGTTTAGATCACCTCCAAATTCCAAGTTTTTTCACTCTCTCTCCATCACATCAATTTTTAGCCGTTTGCACGGAGCATTAAATGTAGGTAAAAAAAATAACTAATTGCATAGTTTAGTTGGAAATCACGAGATGAATCTTTTGAGCTTAGTTGGTCCACGATTGGACAATATTTACCAAATAAGACGAAAGTGCTACTATTCATCGGGTTGAAATTTTTTGCAATCTAAACATGGCCTAATGGTGAAGTGCCTAAATTCCATTTGAAAGTTCTTAATTATTCCAGGTTGAGACTGGATAATGTTGACTGATGGAGTCTTCAGCCAAATCCAAGCTCAAAGCTTGCATAACAATTATCAGCAGGCGTGCCGCTAGGCTTTTTACTCCATTAATCGAGTACAGTATAATATAATACAGCAAACTAAAGTACTAATTCGGTTACTAAACTGCTGAGCACTGCTGCTGAAAAGGAAAAAGATGCAGATTAGCGTATGCACACATTGCAAACAAACTACTGGCAAATAAAGCATAGCATCATTCAGACCACTGCCGAAGAAGCATCAGCAGCTGAGCGTGCAGTAGCGCTTACTTGCTGTTTTTTTAAAAAAAAAAATTTGCTGCTACTTTCTGGTGCAGCCTACACTACACTCCTCTAGTAACTCACTGCTTGTGAGGGCTATAAAGAATTGTTTTTTAGGAGATGGAAGAGGCTTTACATTTGTCAGCATGCTGCTGATCCTCCTAAAGTGTGAGCAATGATTGGGATTGGCACCCACTAGAGGCAGGTTTTGTCCTTGTTCCCCATGGAGATTGCAGGATTAGCAGCTGCACTGTGTTTGCTTGCTGGTTGCTGCAAGTTGATCTGCAGTGTTGCACTGTGCTTTATGCCTTCAGTGTTGTCAGTTCACAGTAGGGGCTGTGACTGACTGACTGACTGACTGACTGACTGTGAGTGATGCCTCTCTACCTCAACACAGTGCCCTCCATTTAAGGTTTCAGCAGGATAATATGCTAACATGATGGTGTTGGTAATGTATCATTGACCACTACTTTATGTCAACTCTAAACAGAAACCCTGATTTACTATGGTCTTATTTAAATCCGGGGTAAAGTTTTAAGGTGTCAATATCGGATGTTATATGAGGGTATCACATGGGGTGATCAGATACTAATAAAAAAATAAATTACAGAATCCGTCAGTAAACCGCGAGACGATTTTATTAAAACCTAATTAATCCATCATTAGCACATGTGTTACTGTAGCACACCATTGTCAAATCATGGCCTAATTAGACTTAAAAGATTCGTCTCACAAAGTAGTCGCAATCTGTATAATTAATTATTTTTTAGTCTATATTTAATACTCTCATACATGCGTTCAAATATTCGATGAGATATGATGTAAACTTTTGAGCGGGGAGCTCAACAAAGCCTATGTCAACTCTCAACAGAAAACTGACGAAACTGACATGGCTTGCCGGCCGGTACATGTCAATCTATTGACAACAATTGGTGAGCTAATATGGTTTACTGATTCATCTCTAAAAAAGCATGGTTTGCCTTAAGAAGTGTGATACGCATTTGGGTTCAGATAGACCGTCTTGAACAACCGTTATATAAAATACAAGATCTATTTCATGTTTGGATAGCGCTACAGGCAAAAAGTTCAATACCTATTTTTGTTTTCTCCAACAACAAGACCCAAAAGAAAACACTTTCTGCAAATGGGTTTACAAGAGAGAGGATACTCAGATTTGGTTTATACCTCTCCTAACACCCAAAATGGGTGTTTCATATAGGTGTTGGAGGCTAGTGCTCAGCCCGGCCAGACCGGGTCGAGCTGAGCAGGCGGGCCAGTGTCAACTGTGGGCTCAAGAGTGGGCAGGCCCATTTGAGGCCCTGTCTCTCTCAGCTCTTGATTCTGAACGGCTAGTGGACATGCTGGGCTTGACTGGGCTAGACCTGACCAGCTGTCTGACTGCATGTCAATTTTTGACCAGCAGCACTGCACAAGGAAAATTCCTGCACAAGTGACACAGAGAGGTGAAGAGAGAGCACAAGAAGAGGCTGGAGAGTGTTGCTCACTGGAGGAGTGCACTGCACTGAGGTACCAATCAGTTTTGTTGTGATTGGCAATGAGCAGAGCAGCTGGGGCCTGGCAGGGCAGGGCATATATCCCCAACAGCAGAAGCCATGCATCTCTCCCTCCTCCCTTCTCCTTTATATCATCACCATCACCATTCAGCGATTCCAATTCCCTCCACAGATTCCCACTCCACTTATATACTCCCTCCCTTCCTGATAGCTTCTCCTCACCATTCCAATCCCATTTGCAACAAAGCTCCTTTCAACAACAGCGGCACAAGCTTGCAGGCACACGTACGATCGAGCCAGCACAAGAAAAGCTTGCTTCTTCTTCTTCTAGATTCTATCTCCTACCTGCTGGTCAGCTGGTGCTATGGTGTCCACTCTCTGGTCACCTCCACCCTCGCTCTGGTTCGTTCTCTTCGTCATCATCTTCTTCGCGTCCGGCGATGGCGGTCCGGCGGCGGCATTGGAGCTGGACACGCAGGCTGCCTACCTCGCCAAGATGAAGGAGCAGTTCCCGGGGCCAGGCATGTCAAGGTGGTGGGACTTCACGTCGCCGGCACCGGACTACTGCAGCTTCCACGGCGTCACCTGCGACCGGTCCGGCAACGTCACGGGCATCGACGTCACGTCGTGGCGCCTCGTCGGCAGGCTCCCGCCGGGCGTCTGCGCGGCGCTCCCCGCGCTCCGGGAGCTCCGGATGGCGTACAACGACGTCCGCGGCGGGTTCCCTCTCGGCGTGCTCAACTGCACCTCCCTGGAGGTGCTGAACCTCAGCTTCTCCGGCGTGTCGGGCGCCGTGCCCCCCGACCTGTCCCCGCTGCGCGCGCTGCGGGTGCTGGACCTGTCCAACAACCTCTTCACCGGCGCGTTCCCGACGTCCATCGCCAACGTCACCAGCCTGGAGGTGGTGAACCTCAACCAGAACCCCGGCTTCGACGTGTGGCGGCCGGCCGAGTCGCTGTTCGTGCCGCTGCGGCGCATCCGCGTGCTCATCCTTTCCACCACCTCCATGCGCGGCGGCATCCCCGCGTGGTTCGGCAACATGACGTCGCTCACCGACCTGGAGCTCAGCGGCAACTACCTCACCGGCACCATCCCAGTGTCGCTGGCGCGCCTCCCGAGGCTGCAGTTCCTGGAGCTCTACTACAACGAGCTGGAGGGCGGCGTCCCCGCCGAGCTCGGCAACCTCACGCAGCTCACCGACATCGACCTCTCCGAGAACCGCCTCACGGGGGGCATCCCGGAGTCGCTGTGCGCGCTGCGCAACCTGCGCGTGCTCCAGATCTACACCAACCGCCTCACGGGCCCCATCCCGGCCGTGCTCGGCAACTCCACGCAGCTGCGCATCCTCTCCGTGTACCGCAACCAGCTCACCGGCGAGATCCCCGCCGACCTCGGCCGGTACTCGGACCTCAACGTGATCGAGGTGTCGGAGAACCAGCTGATGGGCCCGCTGCCGCCGTACGCCTGCGTCAATCGGAAACTCCAATACATCCTGGTGCTGAGCAACCTCCTGACGGGGCCCATCCCGCCGGCTTACGCCGAGTGCACGCCGCTGCTCCGGTTCCGGGTGAGCAACAACCACCTGGAGGGCGACGTGCCGCCGGGCATCTTCGGCCTCCCGCACGCCTCTATCGTCGACCTCAACTACAACCACTTCACTGGCCCCGTGGCGGCCACGGTGGCGGGCGCCACGAACCTGACGTCGCTGTTCGGGTCCAACAACCAGATGTCCGGCGTGCTCCCGCCGGAGATCGCCGGCGCGTCGGAGCTGGTGAAGATCGACCTGAGCAACAACCTCATCGCCGGCCCCATCCCCGAGTCCGTGGGCCGGCTGTCGAAGCTGAACCAGCTGTCCCTGCAGGGGAACCGGCTGAACGGGTCCATCCCGGAGACGCTCGCCGGGCTCAAGACGCTGAACGTGCTGAACCTGTCGGACAACGCGCTGTCCGGCGAGATCCCGGAGTCGCTGTGCAAGCTGCTTCCAAACTCGCTGGACTTCTCCAACAACAACCTGTCGGGGCCGGTGCCGCTGCAGCTCATCAAGGAAGGCCTGCTGGAGAGCGTGGCGGGGAACCCGGGACTGTGCGTGGCGTTCCGGCTGAACCTGACGGACCCGGCGCTGCCGCTGTGCCCGCTTCCGAGCTTGCGGCGCGGGCTGGCCGGGGACCTGTGGGTGGTGGGCGTGTGCGCGCTGGTGTGCGCGCTGGCGATGCTGGCGCTGGCGCGGCGGTGGGTGCTGCGGGCGCGGCGGCTCGCGGAGCAGGACGGGGCGCTGGCGTCGTCGCCGGGGTCGAGCTCGTCGTACGACGTGACGAGCTTCCACAAGCTGACCTTTGACCAGTACGAGATCCTGGAGGCGCTGATCGACACGAACATCGTGGGCCACGGCGGCTCCGGGACCGTGTACAAGATTGAGCTCAGCAGCGGCGAGCTGGTGGCGGTGAAGAAGCTGTGGGTGTCGACGCGGCGGCTGCGGCGGCCGAGCAGCAAGCAGGTGGACTGGGCGGCGGCGGCGGCGATGACCAACACCACCACCGCCAACAGCAGAGACAGCAGCAACAGCGACGGCGGCGGGTGGCTCGGCGACCGCGAGCTCCGCACGGAGGTGGAGACGCTGGGCAGCATCCGGCACAAGAACATCGTGAAGCTCTACTGCTGCTACTCCGGCGCCGACTGCAACCTGCTGGTGTACGAGTACATGCCCAACGGCAACCTGTGGGAAGCGCTGCACGGCTGCTACCTGCTGCTGGACTGGCCGACGCGCCACCGCATGGCGCTCGGCGTCGCGCAGGGGCTCGCCTACCTCCACCACGACCTCCTCTTCCCCATCATCCACCGCGACATCAAGTCCTCCAACATCCTCCTCGACGCCGACTTCGAGCCCAAGGTCGCCGACTTCGGCATCGCCAAGGTGCTCCAGGCGCGCGGCGGCGGCGGCGCTGACCGCGAAGCCTCCACCACCACCATCGCCGGCACCTACGGCTACCTCGCGCCAGGTAGGATCAACGGGACTACATGCATATATGCATGCATGATTTCTTTTCTCCTTTTTTAATTAACATTATTAATCAATATATGGATGCATGACAGAGTACGCCTACTCGTCCAAGGCGACGACCAAGTGCGACGTGTACAGCTTCGGCGTGGTGCTCATGGAGCTGGCCACGGGGAGGAAACCCATCGAGCCGGAGTTCGGGGACACGAGGGACATCGTGCACTGGGTGTCCGGCAAGGTGGCCGCCGGCGCCGGAGCCGAGGCGGACGCGCTGGACAAGCGCCTCGCGTGGAGCCCCTACAAGGAGGAGATGGTGCAGGCGCTGCGCGTCGCCTTGCGATGCACCTGCAGCATGCCGGCACTCCGCCCCACCATGGCCGACGTCGTGCAGATGCTCGCCGAGGCCGGGCCACCCGCCGGCCGGACGACAAAGGGACACCAAGGACGACAAACATCATCATCATGCTACTCCTCCTTAGAAGTGAATTGAATCGAAGCACGGAAGCAGCAACAACGTACGGAGTACACGTGCCATGCCCATGCAAGTGACCGGTCGACTTTTAACACATTAGCCGTACTACTAAGCAACCTCTATATATATTGATGAGCCGACGATGATTTACATAAGGGATGATTCGATCATACAAGCATGCAAGTTGCAAAGATTGTTCGCTCTATACACACACGTACTGTTCTGTAGCTGACCACAGAATAAATTATTTTATGGTCACTTTGAGTTACAATAATTATTATACTAATTTACGAGATTATGGTAACTCTCTCATAAGTGATTTTACTATAGCATTATGGTAAGTATCATCTTAAATTATAGTATCACATGCATCATAAATGTGTATTGTCATTATCGTAAATTGATATAAACATTATCATAAATCAATGTGGCTATAGAATAAGTTATTCTGTGGCTAGCTGTAGAATAGCCTTAACTACTACCCTGTAGCTGGCTATAAAATAATTTATTCTGTAGCCACTTTAGAGTTACGATAATTACTATGTTAATTTACGAGATTATAGTAACTCCTTACTAAGTGGTTTACTATATATTATGGTAAATGTCTCCATATGTTATAGTAACCCAACTATCGTAAATTATCGTAAATTAGTATATAAAATTATCGTAAATGAAGGTGGCTACATAATAACTTATTTTATAACTGGCTATTGAATATACTCTCTCTCTCTATATATATATACAAAGCTAGAAAAAAATTTAGGAAGGGCTGAACAAAAGAATAGATGTTTTTTATCTTCTCTTAACCTTAGCCCCTCCTACCTAATACATATATGCATAAAATTTTAAAGGAAGACTTAGGGGGCTCCACGTGCCCAGGATCGGTAGAGGGGCTAGAGCCCCCCCCCCCGGGCTCCATAGCTGCATATATGTATGTAGGATAGCTAGCTAGCTAGGCAGCTTTACTGGGTCCTGTGCTTTCTCCGGCCTGAAGTAGCCAAGTGCATTGGTCTTGTTCAGCTTACCTTATAATCCACACTATTCAGCTTGTTTTTTCAGCCGGAATAGTATTTTTCTCACACAACAATACAGTCAGAACAGTGTTTTCAGTCATTTTAGCCAAGTTTCAGCAAGCCGAATGGAACAATTGTCATCACTCATCACATATGCACTCTGCTTGGTGTTTAAGCAGAATCTGATGCTCTGATGACTGAGTGGACGGGAAAGACAAATATATATCTTATATATACTTATATATCATATTTGGATGGAAGCAAATATATATTGGTGCATGCATTCTACTTTGAAATGTTCCTCTCTTTGGATCCATGGAGCCTTTCTTTTTCTCGACAACTTTTTTTTTTCTCGTATATGCTTTTGTTTTCCTGAGAGTGATGCCAAGAAATACGGCTGGACGACAAGGTTTTTTTTGGCAGCGTGTAGCTAGGTGTTTTAAGTTGCTTATTATATTGAATTTATACGATCTAAAGTCTAGGAGATTAATTTTCAAGCAAAGATATTGGTAGCTATACTTGAAATTCTCCTATATATCAGGTGCCCAATTTTTTATTGTCATTTAGGCAACAAGCAATTTTATCATTATTTGGCTATAGAAAAAGCACTTCTCCTATATCTCCAGTGCTTTTCTTTTAATTGTACCAGCTGAAAATTTTCTAAAAGCCAAGACACCTGGAATATAGCAACTCTCTTTAAAATGGGTTGGTCAAAAGTTAGGTTGTCCAGTAAGTAAGGTGGTGATTGAGGGGCGATGTAGAGCCACAATAAATACACTGGCGGTCGTGGGTGGTAGAGGAATTTTGATGGGCGAGAAAAACATGGAGGCAGGAAGCTTGTCGATGGCACTGATGGAGCACATAAACCTTACGATGAGAATACCACATGAGATGAATGGAGGTACGTTGAGAAGAAATGGTGTGTGGTGATGTGGGTACTAATCCGCCTAGGGCTTCCCTTACCGCCAATGATTCTCCACCTCTCCGCAGCATCTCCACCACCTTAGCCTTCAGGTCTCCATGCGCTTCCTCTCCGTGAGAGCTTCCTTTTGACGGTATAGCTGTCATCGTAGCCCCTTGTGTTGTGGCCACCATCACCCATGGAGCTCATTCTTCGTCCTTCTGCCTGCCCCTTGTCGTTGTTGCATTGGTTGTCCGTGTCGATGATGTTCATCGAGCTAGCTTGGTCATTGCAGGGAGCCTTCCTAGATCTAGATTGGCGGCTCCCCCTCGATGGTCGTCGCGGTTATGCCTCTCAATGTAGCACAAAGTCACACCCTGCACACTCAGTGAACGCCTCTTTGCTACCATCTCTCAACACTTTGCTCATAGTTGTCTTCAACAAGCTAACTCAGGGAAGATGTTTCCCCATCAGCCGCTAGTTCTCCCAAATCTAGATCTAGGACCCATCACCCAACGGGCGTAGTCACCGGTTAGATCCTTTCGTGTTTAGTCTTCTTCGACAATGCTGCCAACGACCGCCACCACTATGGATGATGGGATGGTTGCCCGTGACTTCATGAAGCCCTCCCCTGGCATCTCCTCATCTACCTGTCACATGTCATCTCTATCAAAAGTGCTCACTATGCTTAAATTTTGCTTGGTAATCGCAATGGAGGTCATTTCTGTGACTCAAAATGGCGAGTGAGACACAATTATTGCTCTCTATGAAAATCTCACATTTCGTGAAGATCTCATGTGGTTGCCCTCTCTTGAGATGGCTTCAAGGGTGCCCATTGTTGTTGCCATGGATGCCACCTTCAGGTTGGCAAACCCATGCCCCACCAATAGTGTTCACTCACCTTGCCCTCTAATCTGCTTCTAGTATCGTCGGGGGAGAGGGGGAGTGATTATGTTGACTAGCTAGTTTTGGCCTCTCATGGTCACTCGTCACTGTGGTTGGAACCCTAATGTTGGCCGAAGTAGCTCCTAGCGTGGGCAAGGGATCACCTTGCTCATTTGAGTTGGATTCATATTTGGTCCCTTTATCCATGATGTCCCATGTGTTTACTGGATTCTTGGGAATCGAGCTTTAATGAAGTTGTATTCTCTCCTAACGCGGATGCTACAAATCCTCATTTTTCATGAAGCTTCAACATCCGGCTAGGTAGAAACATGTTTGACTTCTCCTATCGCCTACATCTCCACCTAACAAGGGGATTATGTGGGTGAAGAATGTTTGCAAAGAGTTGTGCTTGACACTATGATTAGATTGTTGCAACTCTCTATGGCAGAACTGCCTAATCTAATGCCTCTTAGGAGTACTTGTCTTCCATTAGACACTAAGTACTCAAGGAAGAACACCAAATTACGCAGTTCCGTCGAGCACACCCCAAGGAAGAACCCGAAAATCCATATTTTTCCATCAGGATCACAAATGAGAGAATAAACCTTACATTATTATTAACCATTTCTTACATCACTTTTAATACGACATCAAAGTTATGAACAATTTAATTTAATAGCAGAATATAAACCTGTGATCAGAGTTTCAGCAGAATTAAATACCTATTCATGACATGAGGAAGCATTGATATATAAACTATGACAATAGATTATAAAGCTTATATTTATAAAAACATTTAGTGAGAATTATAGATAAAACTATGATCGCAGCATAAAGGAATTCTCTTTGAGCCTACCAGGAGGAATCCACACACAAGGGTCAGCTCTAGCATCCGCCTATCACCTGCAACAGGGGGGAATAAAACCCAGAGTACTCAATTGTACTCAGCAAGACTTACCAGACAGGAGGAAAGAAAAGACTTCCAAAGATATGCAAGGCTATCTGGCTTGTGGGTTTAGAGCATCTGCAGGAGCATTACTAAAAGTGTGTCCTTATATTCAATTTTATTAGCAGTCAACATTGGTTCATTAAGTAACCATTCTATGTAAGCACCTGTGCTACTTTCAAGCAGGTGGTAAGCAATCAGAATCATTTTACCATCTTTCATCTTTCAGTTCTTACTACGGTGCTAGATTGTAGACAAGTCGTACCGGATCGTCCAGTGATTCGTGAATCAATGTATCCCAACTGGGTACCCTAAAACACACGCCCCGCTTGTACCCCAAGCACAAGCAGTTCCAACCCACTACCCTCCTATCACGGGGTCTAGGTTCTCATCCAAACTTGGACTCTGAGCCCCCGCTCCTGAGCTCGGACTCAGTGCGGTGCTTAGACCTCCACCATCCCCGCCTCCAATCAGTCGGTCTAGAAAGAGCCAAAACCCATGACAAGAGAGTAATGAATCTTCCTGCGCCCATACACAAGTATGTGTTCAGGATAATAAGTCTGTGACCTGCCTATAACCTAATGCAACGGCCGGTCCTCAGAAATCAGCCGCTAGTTCTCCCAGATCTAGATCTAGGACTCGTCACCCAACGGGCGTAGTCACCGGTTAGATCCTTTCGTGTTTAGTCTTCTTCGACAATGCTGCCAACGACCTCCACCACTATGGATGATGGGATGGTTGCCCATGACTTCATGAAGCCCTCCCCTAGCTTCTCCTCATCTACCTGTCATATGTCATCTCTATCAAAAGTGCTCACTATGCTTAAATTTTGCTTGGTAATCGCAATGGAGGTCATTTCTGTGACTCAAAATGGCGAGTGAGACAATTATTGCTCTCTATGAAAATCTCACTAAAAGCATCTAGGCCCCTAGTTGGGTTTCGGTGATTAATGACAATACGAGATTACTGTGACTAACGTGTGTTTTGCAGATGCAATTAAGTTAGGTCATGGTAATGGCAATTGATTGGGCAATCATGGTTGTCATGCCCCTACGATGGAAATCGTTTTAGTTTTCAAAGGATCGACGACAAGGTTAAGGATGTACTAGTTCTAAGTGTTGTTTGGTGTTGAAGAGACACTTAGAGTAGTTTAGGACTTTGTTTTTCCTTTGGCCGTACTATTAAGGGGGGCATGGATGGGTAGCTTGACCTAGGTGAGTCTAGTAGGTTAGGTGTGGTGCACACTTGTCTAATCTAGCACTAGGTAGCTCCT